AACTCGAATGCAGGCACCTTATGACTGACATGTATTACTCAAGACACGAATTCCGTGTTGAGCCTTGTGGCCCTTGGGGCTGTAACTATCACAGATCAAGGTAGGTTAGTAGATGTTGTATAATTATTGCAACATCTAGTCTTTAAGGAGTAAGGAAATTTGCACCTGAGTATAAACATTTGTATTTCATCCTTGTTTCCCTGGGGAGTGAAGAAAGCCCCGGAACTCCTGAATAAGTCACCTCGTCTAACAACCTTTGGGCATAAAGTTTGTTTTCAGAGACGAAGGATCGGTATAATTCCTAAAACAAACTTGCCCCAAATCAGAGAGTAAGTAAAAAATGTCCAAGTTAAGAAAACACAAAGCTATGCAGAAAGGATATTGACAAATGAACATTTCCTAGGCTTCTCTCACAGCAGGGAGTAATTGCCTTAAGGTAAAAGCTCATCTCTTGTGTTCTAGAAAGTTCTTAAGCCATTCAATTCACTTAAAAGTATTCATGGTTTTGATTAACGAGCACTTTAAAAAACTTGTCAAAACGAGTTAGAAATGAAAGTGTTTGCTTTGAACAAATATATGCATTGGCCTTGTGGATCAGAAATATCACTGGTTTTGCTGAATTTAAATAGTCATCTACATAAAAGAGTCTCTGGCCTGGGAATAATGCCCTTATTCCCAAATAATTTGTCTTTGGCTTTTGAAATCTGCAGCAACAGTATTTCTATGGTCTGTCTAGATGTGAATATTGAGTTTTAATTATTCAAATGTGGAGTTAAGCCTGTGTGGGTGTTTGCAGTGGGGTCGGGGCTATAGAGTTTAATTCAAATGTAAATTATGCCCCTGGTGGAGCCAGCAGATTTATAGGAAGAGGAACTCTCATTGTAGTTCAACTCCTAACTGAAAGTCAAGCTGACGCATTTGGGCATCTGAATGTCAGTGTACCTGTGGAAAGAGACCCATGCCTCACTGGCTGTTTTTCTACAAGTAAAGATGCCTAAAATCCTAAATTTCTTCTTAAATGTCTCTTAGTACCTGTCATTTTTGAAGTCGTTAAGTGAAAGCTGAGTTCTAAGCACAAAGGAAAAAGCATCTATGCAGTGAGAAAAAACTGACACAAGAATTTCTCGGAAAGAACTTAGACAATTTTTATAAATCCTTTGAAGTCATTCTTGAATGACTGAATTCATTGTGCAAAGACTCAAAGGAAGGAGTTGGAGGTTCCCACTCTTTGCCGTGTTCCTGGATCACAGGCACAATTTTCAAAATAAATTGGTATGGCCAGGTCCTTGTGCCAGAATGAGGCAGAGATTTTATATGGTTTCTCCTTCATTAACTAAAACTTTAGCTATTTTGGTTTTGATTGAAATTCTCCTGGTTAGTTGAGTTGGTGAAAACGGGTGCTAGCTAACTGGGATATGTGCCCGATGTGTGGAGAAAGACAAGCTTATTCTGTGTGGGGAGACCGCTGTTGACTGCCACCCTCCTCCTCCTCCTGGCTGACAGAGTCCCACCTTTTTACTGCACAAAAATGGGGTTCTCCTACCCAATGCGCATAAACAAGCCAATTAATTACAGCAAAACTTTTGGGAAAAGAAATCAGCTTTATTCTGTGAGATCAATCTGCAGAGAGACAGGGGGCATGTGCCCTCAGGTTTGTCTCCCCAATTCAGGATTTGGAGTGAAATTTAAGAGGTTGGGGAGAACAAGCTGGCACTCAGAAACACTGGTGAGACAGGTTTTGATTGGCAGGCTTCAAGCATTGATGGTAAGGGTCTAAACAATTATGGTAAGGTTCTAAACATTGATGGTAAGGAGGGGAAGGGATTTTAACACCGATCTTCCTGAATGAGGGACCCCTCACTTTTGATCGGAGTCTGACTTTGAAGTTCCAGTCATGTCCCCGTCCTTTGGTTCCATTGAAACCAGCAGAGAGTCAGCCATAGATGATTAAGTAGCTAGGAACTAAAGTTTTTTTTTTCTTCTTGCAATTACTAATTATAGCTTTTAGCTGTTTAACTCACCCATTGTTAACTGTGCTGCTCAGGCAATATGCTATCTGACTCCCACTAGGCTCCTGTAGATAACATCTCCCTGGAGCCTGGGTCACCATGGGAATGGGTGTGAGCTGTTTTTCAGGAATTAGAACCCCTTGTCCACTTCAGGCTGGTTGAGACCACCAACTCATCAACTGTGCCCACACAGATGTCCAATAGGCGACCTTTTCACGTCAAGAGACTAAAAACTCCACCCTCAGATCATGCTCACGCCACCATTTTGTGAACATGGGTCCTATGAACATGGAGTCTGACTGCACTTGCACAGACCATCAATTCCCTCACCTCTCCTCACCTGCAGTCACCTCTCTCCACATTTCAGAACACCTTGCCCCCATCCCATAAATATCCCTGAGTCTCTATTTTTGGGGAAGCGAATTTGAGACTCATGCTCTCGATTCCTTTCATGGCTGCCTTGTGAGTAAACCCTCTCTCTGCTGCAATCTCGTTGTCTCGGTGTTTGGCTTTCTGGGAGGCAGGCAAAAATGAACCTGGCTCAGTAGCACCATGGGGAGGAGAATCTCTGGTTCCATGGTCATTTCAGGTCAAGATTTCTTCTTCTCTGCATGCTCTGGCTACATGACTGTACATTTTACGAAAGACAATTTCTTAATCACTCTGTTGATAAGAGATGGGGTTTGGGGGCTGGCCCTGTGGCCGAGTGGTTAAGTTTGCGCGCTCTGCTTCGGTGGCCCAGGGTTTCACCGGTTCAGATCCTGAGCACGGACATGGCACCACTCATCAGGCAGTGCTGAGGCAGCATCCCACGTAGCACAACCAGAAGGACCTACAACTAGAATATACAACTATGTACTGGGGGGCCTTTGGGGAGAAGAAGAAGAAGGAAAGAAAAGAAAAGGTTGGCAACAGATCTTCGCTCAGGCGCCAACCTTTAAAAAAAAAGAGAGAGAGAAAGATTCAGTCTGTTGAACTGACTCTAAATGGGTCTGTGGTTGCAATCTTGCTGAGATGCTCACCTCCTTGGCTGTGTGTTCAGAGTTAAAATGATCTACGATGCCCCAAGGCAGGAGTAGTTGGAGGTGACGTGGAGAATGGTCATCAATCTCCAGAGGCCAATCCTGGTAGTTCTGTCTCCTTCGTCTGTGACAGGCTGGTGGGAAACTGACCATCTTAAGGACAGCTGGCCTTTTCCATGGGGCAGAGATGTTTTAGCCTTGATCCTCTTATTATGACAGGGGTCCAGGGCCCACATCAGCCACCCTATTTTGCACAATCCCTTCTGGATCCTTTCCTTTCCCTCTTCAAGGCCTGCCCTGTCCTGATGACGGGCTTCAGGCATGGAACATTTTGGGAAAATCCCTTCTCAGTTGCTGGAAAACCACAATTGAAGGAACAAAGCCAGTCATAAATCTGGGTGGAGCAGAGCTGGGCACCAGTTGATTGCAGAGCTAAAAGAGCCAGGAGAATGCTACTGGCTACTTCACTTATTTTCCGTGTCTTCGCAGCTGTCAGTCTAGAATCCTCTCCGCCATAGAAAGTCTTCAGAGGAAATTGACTTGATTATCTACTTTATCTCTGACAAACTTCTTTGAGTAGCTGCCAGTAACTCTTACCAGCTTCTAAAAAAAGTTCATAAAAGCTGCTTACTGTGTTTGAGCATCTTTGTGGTTTCTTTCAGTTGCCTACACAGAAATATATTATGTACAACAGAAATATATTAGTGTCTCCCTATAATTTTATACACATCCAGATGCAGTTTTCTGTTTAGAGCTGCCTTCACCATCTTTTTGCCCTAAATCTTATAATAAGCGCATTCATTTGCAATTCTACTTGGCTGTATGATGTTTTTAAAGTAGAATTAGTCAATGCAGTCGCTTTCCCGGTAAAAAGAGGTTGTTTGGAAATGGTATAGAGAGAGAAGAAATTGGCTAGACAGGGATTGCAACACTAGAAATGTAGGACCAGGGGCTGGCACCCCTGGCGGAGTGGTTAAATTCTCGCGCTCCACTGCAGGCGGCCCAGTGTTTCCTTGGTTCGAATCCTGGGCGCGGACATGGCACTGCTCATCAAACCATGCTGAGACAGCGTCCCACATACCACAACTAGAAGGATCCACAATGAAAAATATACAACTATGTACCGGAGGGGCTTTGAGGAGAAAAAGGAAAAAATAAAATCTTAAAAAAAAATAAATAAATGAAGGACCAGTAAACTGGCACCGACTCTTTCAGAGAAATGCTTGCTGCCTGGGTGTCCCCATCCCTTTAGCCGAGCGGTGTGAAGGCTTGATAGTCTTCTGTCCTTTCGATATAAACATAGCTTAGTGCTCTGCCTATCAATAAACAGACACGTTGTAAGGAGAGAAAAACTGGTCTGAACAGAATCTCTTAGGCGCGGTGATTGCTGATTGCACAAACATCGCCTCGTCAATTTCTCTCACAATCCGAGAGAGGAAGTGGCGTGAATAGGAGTGTGTTTTTGGAGGAGTTGGGTGGGGCAGGGAGGGGAGGAGACACTTCCCCGCCAACCGAGGAGTCGGTAGGGCGAGGAAAACCGCGAGGAACCTGCGGCTCAGTCCCTCCTCGTCCCCTTCCTGGCGCCTGGCGGTCCCCTGTCCCCGGCGTCGCCGAGCCGGGGCCACGGGAGGCAGCGGGTTTCGTGCGCTTCGGGACCCCGGGAGGAAGCGCGATTCCCTGTCTCCAGAAGGAGAGGACACGGTCCCCGGCTCAGAGGACCATCTCTGGCACCAGACCCACGCCAGTCCTCTCTGGCCCCTGCACACAGGCGACCGCTCGTGTTTACGCGCGCACACATTCCTGCCTCTGCGCGCAACTCCCACGCCCGGGCCCCTCTGCCTGCCAGGCGCCAGATCCGCCTCCCCGGCTGGAGCGAGAGGGTCCTCGGCTGCGTCTTTAAGGCTGCGGTCCCCGCCCCTCCCGCCTCCCCGCCCTCCCCGGCCCGCCCTCCTCGGTGTCGCCGCGGCTCCTCCCGACCTCCCCACGAGCCGGGCGGCGCGCGGTGCAGGTGCCGGCGAGCCCCTCGAATGCCGCTGCCCGGCCCGAGGTGGTAGCGGCGCCGGGCGCGCTCCGCCCGCCCCTCCTCCTGGCCGCATCGGGCTCCGGGAGCGCGGGGACATGTCGGTGGCGACAGGCAGCAACGAGGCGGCCGGCGGGGCCAGCGGCGGCGGCGCGCGGGTTTTCTTCCAGAGCCCCCGGGGCGGCGCCGGCGGCAGCCCGGGCTCGAGCAGCGGCTCAGGCTCCTCCCGGGAGGACTCGTCGCCCGTGGCCACGGCGGCCGCTGACGGGCAGGTTCAGCCGCCGCCGCAGCAGCAGCAGCAGCGGCGCCACCAGCAGGGAAAAGTGACAGTGAAATACGATCGCAAAGAGCTTCGGAAGCGGCTTGTGCTGGAGGAATGGATCGTGGAGCAGCTGGGTCAGCTGTACGGCTGCGAGGTACCTGGGCGCGGGGCGGGAGGGTCAGGGGCCTCGTCCGCGGCTCTGAGCTCACGCAGGAATTCTCCAGGGCACCAGCTCCCGGGTGCGCGCCTCCCTGACTCTTGGGGACCCAGCGCTGGGAGCGAGATGCGGCGCTTTCTCTCTCCAGGGTGCCCTCTGGCGCCAGGGTGCAGAGATTGGGACGCTTCTGCCTGGGTTCAGCGGCTGGGTGCCCGCAGAGCTGCGGGCCCCCTTGGTGGCCCGGAGGAGGGTTGGGTCTTTCCAAGCGCGTTGCTTTTCTCGGAGCCCCGGGCGCTTTTAGGCTCCAGCTGCTGCTACACCCAGCGGAGCCCGGAGGGGCTCACCCAGCTCACGCCTAACCCAAGGAGAACAGCACTCTGCTGGGGTCCTGGCAGCCCCGATTTTTGTGGAGAGGGAGCAAGGGAAGGGACTTGAAAGCTGCTTAAAGGAGAGGAGAGGTTCTGGGGATCTCAGAGGCGCCCTCGGTTGCTGAAATTCTACATCAATATCGTGGAATGAACGCTTTCCCTTTCCCAACCAGCCCAGACGCGGGTCCCCATAATTCATCCTTGCGTTTACCAACGCCGCGCACGTTGGGCTTTGTTGAAGCAGCTTTCTTGTTTCCTGCCCAGGCTCAGTTACCGCCTTTGACGGGCACAGAGTGAGAGCCTTGGACGACCTCGAAGGGTGCCAGAGTGGAAGGAAGGTGGCCCTACGGGTGGTGCGTGGGGGGCCCGGAACCCGCCAGCTACCCCTCTGCCAGGACATTGTGACTTCCCACACACAGTTCAGGGGCTAAGGTGATACTGAAGTCTCACTGACGTGTGTACATTTGGTGTAAGGAAAAATATTTAGAATAAGGTGTAAGAAATATATGCTAGAAAAATGATGGAAGCCAACAGAGCCTTTAATCACTAATTCTAAAGGAAGTACTATATTTCTCTTAACTGAGTGGAATTTGGAAACAGTGGAGGAATGAAGGGGATTAATAATTAAGAATATGGCTTCTAAGTTGAAGCAAGGTTGTGTGGTACAACTGTTGCGCTCTTCAGCAAAAATGAAGGCCAGATCAACTCACTGGCTTGGGGTATTCTGCATTTCACACATTTTATGACCTGTTGTGAATACATATTTTCCTTAACATTCTTATCGCAGCCTTCTCATTAGGGACCACTGATGAATGATTATGATATAATGAAGCTTGACTATATGACTAATGGCCTTGTAAAACTATATTGTTTCTCCAGCCCTTATAAAAAGCCATTTTAATTGCATAAATAAAAACTGGCCAAAATAGGAAGTGTTCATGGGATTTTTTTTTTTATAGGAAGTTGGTGAGACTCTTTAAATAAACAATATGTTTGATTTAGATGGGATCCTTGTTGGATGGATGGATGTGTTCAGTCTTGCCTCTGTAGAATCCAATTAATTTTCGTTTATTTCATACTGACCTTTATAATCCGTTTTGGATTTGGAGGTTTGAGTTAATAGAAAAGCTATTGTTGAAATTAACAATGCTTTAGGAATGCTCCTTTTATGGGAGGGTAATTAGAGGTAGCTTGAGCAACTAGAAAGAGTTCCAGCCCTTTAGCAAGTTGGCAAATCACATCTTTTAAAAATTCTTCACAACAATTGGGGGGAAAAATGGAGGATTGAATGTTCTCTGTAGTGACCATGTAGGTTAGGGACATCTTTTAAAGGGCAAACGTGACTTTGAATCTTTCCCTTGTACTTCTCTCATTTTAGACTTTCTAGTGGATAGCTCTGAGATTTGAAAGAGAGATTTTGTGATGATACAAGATGCCGTAGGCTGCCCGCATGTCATTAAAATGTGGCGAGTATTTCTCTTCCAGTTGTTTGTCCTGTCATTTTAGGTTGAAGGAATATAAATCATTGAGAAGGCAATTTGTAATTACTAGGCTGATCGTACATCTTCATGTAATGATACAAAGCATGTGGACTAATAAGTAGCCATATAAAGGATTGTCTTCTTCCATGTATTTCTCCACTGGTAGCGCTCTATTTTTAGCTTGAGTCCTCTGGTCTGGTAGCCTTTCTTGCTGATAGCTTCAAGTCTTTTAGCCTCTGGTTTGTAAATCAAGAAGGACCCACCCTGGCTTATAGTTCTGAATCTCATGAATGTAAAGGTGAAGGAAATGTCCTTTTTACACTTAAAATTGGCAATGTTTTCAAATGTTTATTGCATGACATTGACACAGGAAGCTGACTTGCCCAACTTCAAACTGGCTGGAGGCCTGAGCTATCTGGCAAGTTGGGGGAGAAGATGAGCAACATATTTAATTTCAGATGACCTTGTATCAGCACTTGGATGACCTGTCCTTTTCGGAATAGAAAATGGTGATCTTTTGGAGTGGCATAGAGCATGATATTTACAATTGGAAAGGAGTGGGAAGAAGTACACAGAATAACTTCCTGGCTGTGGTCTTGTCTAGAAGTTTGCCGAGATCCATCAGTTTTGTATGGAGAATGATAGAGAGACAGCACCTGGGGAGTACTTACTGTGCACCAGGTGCTGTTCGAGAAACAGTGTAGCAAGAATTGATTTGTCTCTACAACAGCCCTATGAAGAGGATTTTACAGATGAGGAAACTGAGACCCAGAGAGATTAAGAAGCTTTCCCAGGTTCACATAGCTTGTAAATGGCAGGGACGAGGGGAGGGGTGAGGACCCGGGCAGTGTGGCTGTGAGTCCAGTTCACCAGGCCTGCCTGTAGCTTTGCAGGGTCTCATGCAAGAGAACAGATGGAGGCCCTTGTAGCATGTGTCGAAATATTTAAAAATAATGAATTTAGCTAACGTGCATTTCTATAGAATTGATTCTACCCACCTACCTTGACAGCGATGTCTTCATAATGGCCCGGAAGGTTTGAATCTTGCATTCTCAGACTTCCCAGAGCTCAGAGCTGGAATGCACCTGGGAGAATCTTCCCCCGCCCGGGGTCTGCTTCGTTTTGTTCCCCACTTGCGGTTCAGCCCCACCTGGAGACGGGCGTTGTATCCGCCTGCATGTCCAGCCTCTGTCCACACCCTCTGCCACCCCTCAATCATGCCTCTGGCTCAGACCAGTGGGAGGACAGATCTGGGAAGAGCCTGTTCATGCTCTGGAAGTGGCTTATATTTGATCAGGGAATTCTGGGGACCTGGTGTGTAGCCTAAAACCAGACAGAAGGGCACCTGTTCTGGATTCGTAGGTCCAGTTTGTCTGGGGAACTCTGGACTGACTCTGCAGGAAGATGGGTGTGGCAGGAGTGGGACCCAGGACTGTGGTTCCTCTTACCCCGTCTAAGAGTGATATCGTTAAACACCACATCATGCAGCCTTTGGATGCACAGATCAATGTTGTTATAGCTTCTAACATGATTAGTTGTGTTTATAGTTATTTTCCATTCATCTTCTTGTACAGGTAGTTAAATTTTCAGCTAGGAATTGGGTTATAATGGAGCTGTTAGTTCCATCTACATCCAGATTGAAGGATTTCTGTTAAGACATTTTCATATGTCTTCCAAACCCTGACAGTTTTTGAGAGCATTTGAAATCTGGCGTAGTGTCTACTTTGACAAGTATTGCAAGATGACTTCCTGGATAAGTCATATCAATTTTTACCATCGTTCCCAGCATCAAGATAACATCTGTACTTCCAGTTTTGCAATTAGATTTGCTTTGGAAAGAAAAGCCTGTTGTTAACCTCAGGTTGTTGAAACACCCATAGCAGCCTGGCCGTAAACAGCCTTGTGCACTGAGACTATTTCCAGCTTATCCTGAATGTCCATTGAGACGGCCTCTCCCTTTGCTGCTGCTGTCTGCATTTTAAAAAGTGGCTTCTGGCGTATTATACCTGTTCGTTTTCCCTGACTCCCTACCACCCTCATTCTGTAAATCAGTGCTGTTAAAAAGTTTTTGATGGTGACCCTACAGAGAAATACCCTTGAGATTGCTGCTTGATACCTACACAAACACACGGATGTTTGAAAACAGAGATTCAAGAGCACCGCTTCATGTTACTCTGTATGCTAAAGAAAAAATTACAAAGGTAATATAAAATACGACTTTATTAAAGTTTCAGTACAGTATTCTGTCCTATTTCATGTTCCAAAATTGCTGGTTGTGAGCCTTTAAGTTGATTTCATAACACATTTTGGATTATGGCCTGCAATTTAAAAAATACTCTCCCTGAAATAAGGCAGAGAGAGAAAGACAAATACAGTATGAAAAAAGCCTAGGCTCACAGATACAGAGAACAGGTTGGTGGTTGCCTGCGGTGGGGGCTTGGGGTGGGTGAAATGGGTGAAGGGGGTCAAAAGATACAAACTCCAGTTATAAGATAAATAAGTCAAGCAAATGTAATGTACGGCATGGCAGCTACAGTTAATAATACTATATTGCGTATTTGAAAGTTGCTTAGAGAGTAAATCTTAAAAGTTCTCATTACAAGAAAAAAACATCAGTAACTATGTATGGTGATGGATGTTAATTAGACATATTGTGGTGGTCATTTTGCAATATATACAGATATCAAAAAATTATGTGGTACACCTGAAACTATTATAATGTTGTAGGTCAACTGTACCTCAATAAAAAATATACTGCTCCAAAAAGTGAAAATCCTAAGTATATGTAATAGTATTAGCTGACATTTATTGAGCGCTTTCTATGCATCAGTTACGGTTCATATAATCTTAGTAATAACATCTGATAGTCCCGTTTTGTGGATGTGGAAACTGAGGTACAGAGAAGTCAAGAAGTTGCCCCAGGGCCCTCAGCTGGGATGTGGCAGAGCAGGGCTGTGTCCAGGAGGTCAGACGCACTTTGCCACTGCATTGTACTGCTTCTCCATGAGGGACGGAGCCTGGCATCTTCTGTGAACTCCCACATGCTGCCTACTCCCTGGATGTGGCTGTTGTAACTTCTGAGTTGACCGATACTGCATGTGGGGGATGCCAGCCCCAGTGGGCTTGTTCTTGTCCCTGGATCAGGGCT